AATCAAAGTAGCTCCAATGGAAAGGAGCGAGTTTGGAGAAAGCTACCAGAGACATCCACCATAGTACAAGCCCTTCCCACACACCCCTTCTTATGCTATGGGCAAAGCCCTGAACTCTTTCCCAACCACAGGGTGAGCACCATTATCCTAGACGGTTCCCTCCCCCATTTCCCTATATCCTGAGTGTGCCCCCTCAGAGTGTTAGATAGTAAGATAGCATGAACGGAAAGAGCTGAAGTGGCCAGAAAGCGAGAGAAGCAGGCAGTAGACTACAACATGAAATATATGTGAACAAATATAATCCTTTCTCCTGGCAATTTTCAGTCACCTGGGCAGGGACAGCCTTGAGAGTCCATCCTAGAATTCAAAGAGGAGGCTCTTAAATCTTAAAATAATCTGGGCGCTCCCAAGACCTCCCCAGCCTTTCAACTGTATTCTACACAGTATTTCTTTCTTTCACTAATGTGATTAAGGTCTTTCTTTATATGTGGGACAAAGGCCTAGGGAGTTCAAAGAGGCATGTTTATAAAAATAAAAGCCAAGGGACATCAATATTAATAAAGATAAACTAAGAAGATGTTGGATAACCTTTGTGAAATTAAAAAATAGTGACTAATTTAATCCAAACAACTACGTCATACTCAAGTTCCAGGAATTCTAAAACTTGAAAATAATAAGGCAAGAATTTTTCTTTGCTTCAGTGATCAAAATGTAGGGCCCGTTCAAGGACAAGAGACCAGTCCAGGCCCAGTACCAAAGCCACAGCATCTGAGTGGGGGAAGCAGGACAAGGTGATATTCCCATGGCAGTGCTACCTGGGATGACAGAGCACAACAAAGAGATTCTTCTCATAAAACAACAGGCATTCATCAAACATCTGAGAGACCTTCCAGAGACTACAAAATCTTGGGCAGTTCTCAGTTTAGAGGAAACAAGTGAACAATCTAACCAAAGAGTTATGACACACACCACCCCTGGTACAAGACAAAATATGCTAAGCATCAGACAGTACATACAGTTAAGATGGGCAGACACAATCAGACAGGCGCACCCTGTCAGATAGGCACATGAACTCAGACAGGTATAGAGAGGCACATACCATCAGACAGACACACCCAGTGAGTAAAAAATAAAGGAGTAAAAGGTACTTGTCAGAAGATAGGGGAAGGATAGGGAAAGGCTCTGTGTGAGCAAATGTGGCCAGAGTTAAAGAAAACCACACAGCTAATTTAGTCTACTGACTTAGATTGCTTTCTCCTTATCTTAAAAATTACCTGTCATAATGTGGAGGACAGATATTCAATGAAAACGCAAACTCGAAGCAAGCTGGTCTAAAACACATGTTTCAATTTAAACTCATACAGCATCAGTTGACTGTTAAAAAGGGTATTAGAGCACTGTAATCTTGCTACAGGCCAGTGTTTTAGCCACCAAGTCCTATTCAACCCATCAGCCAACCTCTGACTTGCCCAACCACTCTGCTTTAAATGACATGTTGGCAAAAGACAATAAAAACACAACTGACTATCCTGCAGGAAGAAATATGCTCTAGAAATAAGAATACAGGACCAATTACAGAGCAGGAAGGGAAGAAATATAGACAAAAGTCAGTATCTACAGAAAGCATTAGATTTTCAGTGACATTTTAAAAATTTACTACTATATGTGCACACATACTCGTGTGTGTGGAGGCCAATTCTTTCCTTTATGTGGGTTTTGGGGGATTGAACTCAGTTTGCCAGGCTTGCAAGGCAAGACCTTTCCCTGCCTAGCCACAATGACAATTAGTCATCGCACAGACCTCCCTTGAGTTTCCCAAAGAGCCAGCTATACTTCAACCCCACTACCTTAAGTAAGACAAATATGGAACCTCTTGGACAGTATGATTAGGTATTTTCTACCAGAACTTTTAAAACCTGAGGATTTCCAGAACTAAAAGGAGAAAAATCTAGCACGCCACACCATTCAGCCAACCATAGAAGTTCAGGCAGTAAAGTCAGGAAGACAGGGCCAAAACAGGCTTTTCAAATAAAAATGTTTTAAGGGTCACTAAGGCAACTGCAGGCTTCCCTGTATAATAACAAGCAGTTCAGGAATTGTTATCCACTTTAATGTCCCAAAGCAGAAAAACTAAAACTTAGCTTTCTAACCAATGGACATAAAATCATTAGTTTACAACTAAGTCACCCAATTTTTTTTTGTTCCTAAAAGAGCAAAATAAATTCATAGTAATACAAAAGGTTACATATGGATTCAAAAGGTTCTGTTGAGCTGGCTGTGGTGGCACACACCTTTAATCCAAGCACTTGGGAGGCAGAGGCTGGTGGATCTCTGTGAGTTCAAGACCAGCCTGGTCATATATAGCAAGTTCCAGGCCAACTGGGGCTAGAGAGACACTGTCTCAAAAAAAAAAAAGGTTCTGTTGAACAGATACTCAATGACTCAATGACTGTGTTTTTCATGCTTACACTAATTAACTGAACAGCCAGCATTATAACTATCCCTACATGACCTCAATTATAGCATTTTAGCTCTTACCAAGGGTTTCAGAATTATGACAATTACTAATAAGTGAAAGGCTTCACAAAAAAAAGAAAACACATGCTCTTCCTGTCTTCATAATGTAAAGAAAATGCACTATTATCACCTGTTTGCAATACTCTCAGCCCTTTGCTACTTTTGGAAAAAAAAAAAAAAAAAACAAAAAAGATAACATTTCTGATTATAAAGAAGACAGAAATAGTCAGTCTGTGTTATAAAAAACTGATGGCTTAGTCCCATTCAATATATCTACAGTACAGACTTTACAAATTTGCACCGTTTCTGACCTCAAATTGAAAAAAAAAAATGTGTCACCCTTAGAGCCCGGACACCCAGTCAGGTGTACCTTATTTGAAGGTAAATGGAGAAAAAAATAACAGGAGAATGTCTTCTTCTATACCTCAGTGCTAGCTCGTCTGTGCAATAGATGACTGCTAAAAATTAAGAGCAGAGATTAGAAAAAATATTCCAGCCTCACTGTTTGACTTCTCAAAGAATTTCTCAGCCCAGATCTTTCCTTATTCAATAATCTATGTCCTACCCTTTGTCGTTAATGACATCAGTTTAATTCATGCTCTGTCTCTGCAGTAAGAAAGAAATGGTCTCAGGGAGTTCCTTCAATAGAGTGCCCTGTGAGTATACAACGCCCAGTCACTCTGTACAACTTAGTAACATGATAATGAAGTGTATCACTTCCATGAATAAAAGACAATGACAATGAGAAATATAAAACACACTGAAGTGTCCACAAAGTCAGGGGCTGTGACAAGATACCAGATAATCATACAGAATGCCTGGCTCCATTGGCTGGTAACCCAATATGGTGGCTTTTTCAAGCTTAAGAATTAAACTCATCCTAGATCTAGGGCAATGGAAAGGTATTGCCCTTGGAAATATTGGTATCCTATTCCTTCCTGATACTATTACAAGCTACATTCTTGTTGGCACTCAGGCCAGGACAAAGGGCAGAGTGGCATTCAGTCTTCTGTTTCATCACTCCTCAGGGTGCCCTGGGGATGGGGGACCAAGGTAAGAAAGGAACAATAGCACAATTGTTATAGGATTTGTGCTTAGGACACTTGTAATGCTATTAACCAAGTGAACTGCACTCCAACCAGCTGTTAAAGAATTACAAAGGTCGAGAAAACAGTTCTCAGCTAAATAACCAGGGAGGAAAAAAAAATCCCAGACAAAGAAAAGGAAAACTAAGGAGATAGTAAAAGGATCAGGAGTCCCAGGATTGGAAGGAAGGAGACAGGTAACTGGGGAGCACAAGGGATTTTTTTAGGGCTGTGCAACTACTCTGATGACACTACAATGATGGACACATGTCATTCATTACATATTTGCCCAAATCCACAGGAGTGCCCAACACCCAGTCATATCTAATGTAAGCTAGGATTTCCAGGTAATAAGAATGTGCTCAGGCTAAGGATGAAGGGATGTTGAGGTCCTGTGGAGAGGAAGACAAGAAGGAAGGCTAAGGATATGTGAGAGAATGGACTATGTGGAAAATCTCCTTCTGTTGCTGTACTTAAAAGTGCTCTTTAAAAAATAAAATATTTTTTTAAAAATCAGGCAACTGGGCCTCACAATATCTCTTGCCTACAATGGTTCACAAAAGAAAAACAAAAACAGAAAAATCTATTGGAAAACACACTCCAGGAGATTCTTTGGTTTTCTTTCCTCCTCCTTTCCATCACTTTTAACCACTGTCAGAAAGCCCCATTTACCAAGAAACAAATCTTAAGATGTCTATAAAGCTTTGGTTTTCTTTCCTCCTCCTTTCCATCACTTTTAACCACTGTCAGAAAGCCCCATTTGCCAAGAAACAAATCTTAAGATGTCTATAAAGCTCAAAATTGCCAGGAAATACCCAAGAAAACTCCCATCAGAATTTCAGTGTTTTTGTTTTTTTTTCCCTCTTTCTCCAAAGCAACTCTAAGGAGGCAGGTATGCATTACAGTCTACTCTGCACAATCACTCATCCCAATTACAGAACATTCTTTGGAATTCCTAAGGAAAACTGAGCCACAACTTTGACTTGATGACCACACTGGGAATTTAAACAAAAGAATACACCCACTGGTACAACTCAGGCTCCTCCCTTTGACATGTGTGTTACATGAGTGAGAGCTGAGGTCCAGCACATGGCTAATGTCACAATCAACTTCTGTGCAACCTCTCGAAATTGTGCTCCACAAAAATGTGACTGACTGGAGGAGACAGGGAAATGTTATGACTTTGGGAGATTAAATCTCCCTATTGGGAGAGGATGACACTAGTGGCTGCATTTCACATGGCTTTGGCTTGTCCCACAGTCTTCCCGTATTTACCTTGAAAAGCTTTCCTGGAGAACATAGGAGGTTACAGAAATGCTCTGTCAAATAAGAAACAAATGTCTCCAAAAGTGCCATTTAACACAAACCACAGAAGGACCACAATCCCCTCTCACCTACCTGGAAAAGCGTGTGGGTTGGGTGACCCTCTCTTAAGGCACTTAGAACAGAGGATGTGCACGGTGTAATGCAGTCCAGGCCATTCCTGAAGTAGGACATTCAGTTCCTCTACCAAGGGCGTGATGGCCTGCCATGCAGTCCATATATTTGGTAATGATGCATGGCTGGCAATGGACAGGGTATCTGGCTGCAGGACCCCCTTGGCAGGTCTGTAACTCACCACCACAGGAACCTTCCCTCTGTATGCAAAGATTTGAAATTTACCATCCGACCTGTGCACCACATGGCTATTGATCTGGACACTGTAGCGAGCAAACAGCCCAGGAGGAAAAGTAAAGGGAAAACTATATTCAATCTGCAACTGCTCAGCCACAAAAGACTGCCCAGTCAGGTTGGTCCCATTAATCCAGGCCTCTGCGTGGGGCACCTCATTCTGCACATAGCATGGAAACTTGTACCAAGCAGTGGACCCATTCAAAGGCTTGCCTTTGGGCTTATTGAGACAGTAACAGAGTCCCATCTTCTCCAACAGCTCCAGCAGCAGCTGCAAGTCCTGCTGGGCCTGGACATGAGGCTTAAGCAGCAACCGAATGACATGTACTGGCAGGAGCCCATGCAGCAGAAAACCCTCCACATAATGATGGAGCTGGGTGGCCCGGAGTGGGTCCTGGCCCCGGGTGGGCATCGCTAGAGTGGGGAAGCTTTCCCCCTCGCCCTCACCCTCTCCACTGGTCCCTAGGAGTAGTTTATGCAGCAGCAAAGAAGCATCCCTCTGGAAAAAGACATTGAGGATGTCGATGAGGCGCGTAAGGTTGTGGAAGACGTGCTCCTTGAGAGCAGGGCTATCCTCAAAGTAGAGCAGCTTGCCGCTCTCATGCAGGTAGGAAAGGGCACTCTGCAGGCGGTCCTCAGTCAGACCTGCCTGCAGGCCCAGGCGCGCGGAGTCCCACCAGCTTAGCCACAGTCGTTGTGCCTGAGGTGGCTGGAAGTGCAGCTCCTCCAGCACCTGCCAGGATCGTGGCAGGACTCGATGTAGGTTAGGGAAGATTTCTCTATGCTCAGCTACAGAGAGCAGTTTGTCCCGGAGGCGTTGCAACTGGAGGGGGTTCCTGCAGCTAACAGGCAACACCGGGGAGAGGATCTGGAGCCGGTGGTTGAGCAGGTATTGAAAATGGGCCTTTCTCCGCCGAAGGTTCTTGTCTGAAACACCATAATAGGCTGCATGGGGGCTGGCAGAGCGCAGCTCGAAGTCCCGGGCCAGAGCCTCATCGACCACCTGGGCTAAACGGCTCAGGCCCTCGGCATCGTGCTTCTCCTGCAGGGCGATCTGGCGGTGAATGTCCAGACACTTTTCCTCCAAATCCCGCTCCCCGCACAGGTCTGCGTGTGTACCCACAATGCACACCACAGCGTGAGGCACCCGTGCACCCACCCGGTGCAAGAAGGAGCCCACAGTAGTGGGAAAGCAGCGTGGTTCATAAGTGGCCAAGTTGACCACTAGCACATACAGGGCTCCTGGGGAGAGGAAGAAAGGCTGGATCACCTCATAGCTTTCATCACCAGCTAAGTCATATACAATGAACCGCAGGCCCCGGGAGGCATCTGCAGTCCAGCTGGTCACCTCGATGCCCTTGCTCCCAGGGGGAGGGGAAGGTGGGTAGTTCTTCTCCGTGTCCCCTCCTCCGTAGCCTCCCTCCACTTTGTCCTCTGTGAGGCAGTGACAGAGCAAGGTCTTTCCTGCAGCCTTATGGCCCATCAGGAGCAGCTTGAGGCGGGGCTGAACGGCTGGCTGGGAATGAGCCAGCTCCTTCTGGTAGGCTGCAATGTAGGGGATCCCCTTCATGCAGACTTCATAAGGGGGCTGAATCAGTGGATTGTCCTTGATTTTCCACAGGCCCACCCGGGAGAGCTGGCCAAAGTTGTCCGGCAGCACAGCGATCTGGTTCCCTTGCAGCACCAGCTCCTCCAGGCCGGTCAGCTCCACAATGGAGTCCGGCAGGTAGCGGATGCGGTTATTATCCAGCCACAGGGTGAGAAGCCGGCCCAGCCCGGAGATAAGGGATGGCACTGAGGTGAGCTGGTTGCGACTAAGGTAGAGCTCCTCGAGACCCGCCAGCGGCAACAGGGCAGCGGGGAACTCCTCAAAGAGGTTGGAAGAGAGGTTGAGCATTTTGAGCCGTTGCAGGCAGCTGAACTGGGCGGGCAGAGCCTGCAGCCCGTTGTTGTCCAACATTAGGCTCTCCAAACTGGCCAACTCGCAGAAGCCGCTGGGCAGGATGCCAAGCTCGGCCCCACTCAGCCAGAGGATCTTGAGGGCACGGAGGGCACTGATATCCTCAGGTAGGCCTCGCAGCCGGTTGCTGGATACATCCAGCTCCTCCAGGGCCGCCAGCTGCAGCAGCTGCCGGGGAAAGGCAGTGAGCTGGTTGTGGTCCACGTCTAGGGTGCGCAGACGCTGGAGGCAGGAGAGGGAATCCGGCAGGTGCGCCAGTCGGTTGAAACTGACATCCAGATCCTCCAGATGGGCGAGGGCGCCCAGCTGTGAGGGCAGCGCCGGCAGCTGGTTGTGGCTCAGGTTGAGCTTGCGCAGCTCCCTCAGGGCGCTCACCACCTCGGCGCCGAGGACGGTCAGCCGGTTGTGGCTCACGTCCAGCTCGGTAAGGTGGTGGCCGAGCTCCGCTACCGCAGAGGGCAGGCGGGCAAAACGGTTCCTGCGCAGGACCAAGACGCGCAGACTGCCCAGAGCCGACCCCAACCCTTCGGGCACCTCGTCCAGGCCGTTGTTCCCCAGGTTCAGCACCTCAATGTCTCCGATGTTGGCCGGCAGCACCAGCTGGGGGGCGTCCGGGGACTCCAGCGCGTCGCCTCCCGCCCCCGGGCAGCTGAGGGTGAGCTGGCGCAGGTTGCTCCGTAGCTTCCTGGCGCGCAGGGCGGCGTCCCGCCACAGCCTCACAGTCTTCAGGTTGCCACTGTCCTTGCCAGCCATGGCGGGCCGGGTCAACACCCTCACGCCGGCACCGGAGCCCGCAGCTGCATGCTGCGCTGCGCCCGCGCCGGCACCCGGTTCCCGGGCCCACTCGCTCCCGCGGCTCCCGGGCCACCAGCCCCGGGTGGCCCGCGGATGTGGGTCCTAGCGCAGCCGGCGGCCCGGCGCCCGGAGCTGAGGGGCGGCGGCGACGCGAACAGCTCTGGGGGGCGCCGGGCACGCGGCACGGAGCGGGGCTGCGGCGGCGGGACGCAGCTTGCATTCTCCGTGCTCACCGGCCATGGGCGCGCGGGGCCCCAGGGCCGCGGAGGATGCCTGCTCCTCCTCCAGCTCCGCCCGCCTCGCGCCGCCTCGGTGCCGACTCCGGCCCCGCTACCCTAGGAGCCCCGGCCCCGGCGGCGGCGTAGCCTCCGCGAGCTCCGGGAGGAGGGCGGCGCTCGGCTCCGCTGCGGGCATGGTGCGGGAGCAGGGCCGGGGCCCGGGGGGCGGTGCCGTCTCCTTGTCTCCGCTTTCCCCGGGCTCGGGCGGGAGCGTGAGCGCCGCGTCCCCTGCGCAAGGAGGGCCGGATCGGGAAGCTACAGCGCCGCCCGGTGGAGCGGCCCCCCACGTGACCAGCCGAGAGGCCGCGTGTTACCGGCACCGCCCTGGGGGCGGGAGCTGTAGAAGAGCGCTGGTGCTGGACCGGGGAGCCTGACTGCGGTGGGGCGGGTGCAGTAGTAGGCACCCGGCCGGGAGGCGACAGAACATCCTCGCGGCTGATCTGGGGTGGCGGGTCTCTGGGTTGGGTTCCCCAGCATCTGGCTCTTTGTTGGCCCTAGGTCTCTCAGGGTCTCTTATTCATCCCTAAGGCGTAGAATTCGGCTAGCTTGCCTTATTCATTCTTCACCCGCTTTCCCATCCACGATATTGGACTGGCCGAATTCCGGTACCTGAGTGTCATTATAGCTTAGAAAGAGAGGATGGTTAAACGAAAGGCAGTTTGGGGAGTGCAGGCAGTCATAGTCATTAATTCATTTGATAAATATTTACTGGAGCCGTATTTTGTGCTAGGCCAACTAAAATCTAATGTTCAGCAACCCTTGTTTGAGCCAGCACCTCACCAGCCTGATGTGGGTGGTTGTGGCAGACGCGGGGAGGTGGGGGGGTGCGGGGTGACAGCAACGCAAGACGTTTTATCCGGACCATTCCATTTACCCTCACAACCGAAAGAAAAGATCTTCAATAGGACAGTACCTCCTGTTGCTCTTGTGGGCTAAAAAAAAAAAAATGCTGTTTCAGGAGAAATTCTCTGTGCAATGCTTAACTTGGGTTTTTGGGGGTTTTGGGGGGCGGTTGTTTGTTTTTTTGTTTTTTTCACTGAGAGGAAGTTCCTCTGAGATCATATCTACACTAAGTAAATGATTTCTTCAGAATTTACCAAAGCCTTGAAACTGTAGGCATCACCTACATCATTGCTTCCCAGTTGGTTGATCAAGAACCAAATAGTATTTAAATGCACCGTTTAACACACTGTGGCTCTACTCCATACTATAGTCCTTTGAGGATCATAGTCAGTGTGTTTGTCTCTTCAAAGAGAGAAACTAACATGAACTCCACCCAGTGGTAGTTATCAGGCCCTAGGCATGCATCTTGTAAAAAGGTTGCTCCCCTGGTAAGCTGGGTTCCAATCTTGGACATCTTAGATACTTTGGACAACCAAGGTGTGTTCACTCAGAAGGACTTCTTGGGAAACTAAATGCTCAAGGATTCTCATATGTTTTTCCAGAATCGGTCAGAATTGTACAAGAAAATGTCTGAATCATGGAGGCACACACACACACACACACACACACACACACACTTTCCAATCTGCCAGTAAAGGGTAGAGCCAGGTCTGATAACTCACCAGGTGGGATCTTCTCCCTGTGATATTGGGAGCCAGATCCCCAAATCCTCCAGACTTCTGCTTTTAATAAAGTGGAACAATCTGAAGCTCAGCCTGAGAAAGAAGCACAAGCAAAGCCTCAGTACCCTGCCCCATCTTAAGTGGCTCAACCTCAGTCCTAAAGTGGCTTAGATTGCATCTAAAGTAAGACTTGTTAAGCTCTTTCCCTTTGGAGGCCATCAGAAAAATTAGTATATTTCCATTGTAAGTGTTGAAAACTCTTCTACCCTCGGCATTAGATAATTAGTAATTTTGTTTATCTGATACAGACAGCTAGTGGGACCAAAGAATACCCTGGGGTCTGGGACCTGTCAGGCCTCAAAGTGTCCCAGCTTGACATGAATGAGGTGAGTGAATTTGCCCACAAGGAACTATCCTTTCAGAGCCCTCCTCCTGCAAAGTGCTAGTTACTTTCAAAGCCCTGCAAAGCTCCTATTGATAGAGTGATTTTTTTTCTCTCAGTGTTAGAGATTGAACTGAAGATCTTAAGCATGTGAGGCAAGCTCTCTTCCAGAAGTAAAACTAACACTGAGGAAGCTTGGTAAGAAGCCTTTGAAGCTGATGGTTTAAAAAAGAAATGCAGTAGTACGTGCCTGTTATTCCCCGAGTTTAAGAGGCTGAGGCCAACTTGGGCTACATAGTGAGACCATGTTTCTCAAAAACAAAAAAAAAGAAAGGAGTGCTTTCAAAGTCAATTTAATAAACACTAAAAAGATGAACCTTATTTTTAAAGGTGAAAGGGAAGGAAGGGAGGGAGGGAGGGGAAGAGAGAGAGAGAGGCTGATTCAGTATATGCCCTGGGCACCCAACCTGGTCATATTGCAGCTCCAAGTGGTTTCTGATAGACCAAAAGGACATGCCCCCTCCTCCATCTAGAACATGGTAGGTATGAAAGACCTTAAATTTCAGGTGCCAGCAGCCTCCAGCATGGATGGGAAGACCTATAGTTTCAGTCTGAAATGTCCCCATACCCTATACACTAAAGCTTAGTCCTTAGCATGGCACTATTGGGACATGGCAGAAACATGAAGCAGTGTGGCCTTATGGGAGAAGTTGGGTCACAGAGGGTATGCCTTCAAAGAAAATAATGTAATATCACCCTTCCTTCTTTCTCTCTTCCACTTACTAGCTGTCATGGAACAAGTACTGTGCTCTACCACATGCTCCCCATCATGATATCCCATCTTGACAAAGGCCCCCAAACAACAGTGCCACTTGACCCTGCACTGAGCCAAAATAAAGCCCTTCTCTCTCTAAGTTGACAACAGCAACTGTCTGTGATAGTAACAGAAAGCTGACTAATACAGGAAGGACAAAGCAGTACTTTGTGGTGATTCAAAAGGAACTGCTTATGAGCACATATCTAGATCTGGGTTGTGCATGGGGTTGTGTGCCCACATGACGTTTCACTGCTGGATGGAGCCCAGGTCAGGGATGAGTAGGAGCCACATTTGTTAGCACACTATAGCACATTTACATATTCAGGCATGTGGTATATAGACTTCTCTTACCCAGGATCTGCAAATGGTAAGAGCTCTTCCCAAAACAATCATTTCACTTTGGCTAGCAGACTCTGATTACTAGACATTTTCTTGACTTGGATGTTTATCCATGTTGTGGATCTAATCCCTGAACTTCAGAACCTTCCAAATGTAGGACTTTTAGTTTAAATTGCTTTCTTACTCCTACACTGTTGTCATGGGAGTGGCTACTCTATGGTTACATAATACCCCAGGCACAGTGACTTGCCCCAGAGTTCAGACCTGGTGTAGGACATGGGGAGAGTAGGTATGAAGAGTCGATGTCTTGAGCTAGGCCTTAGAGATATGTATGGGGAGAAAGAAGTATCCTGGGCATCCCAGATAAGGATACATTTACATATCTTCCAATACCAGTCTGAATGGAGGGACAGCAGGGTTACTTTGTTCTTATCCCTCACTCAGACTAGCCACAAACTCCAAGTGAGCTTAGACAGACAGATACACACACACACACACACACACACATTCTTTCATTCTATTTTCAATGTACTTAACTCTCCTCTATTTTGACAGATCTCTCTTAACTGGTACCCAAGCTGCAGTCTCCTTGTCTTACTTCCTTCCCTGTACAGTATTTTCCAAAGATGCTCTAGGGTGGTCTTCTTCCTCTCCACTAGTTCCATCCTGTCTTCTCATCAACTTTGCTTCTAAAAGGTCATCTCACCTTTTCCTTTTCCAGGAATACCCATTATTGAAAATGGTAAACTTCCTTTGGAAACATGCCTCTTCCTTGGTCTATAGGGTGTTTAGTGTCACATTACAGTTTGGGTTTTCAAAAGGAGCCCTATAAAGACTAATTGTTTCCTTCTAAGGATCAAGTTTGCAATTAGAATAAGTGCTACCAAATGACTGATGCAGGGGCAAACTGGCCAGGATTTGAGGAGACATAGACAACTTCTTATGACAGAGCTTAACTCACTTTGCTTTCCTAATTACACTATTCTACCTATCTTAAAGAAACATAATTATAAAAATCATTTAAGTAAACCGTTCCGTGGAATTTTAATTTTGTCTATGACAACTTAATCTTTTTATTAAAGCTATTCAGTGCTCCAGTTTGCACAAGACTGAAGGGTTTCCCACAATGGGAGACATTCTATACTTCACACCAAGGCAACCCTAGGAAACGTGTACAGTTAGTTCACCTACTTGCTCTTTAAAAAAGAACTTTTTATCTTGCTCTTCTTTTATATTTCAGGAGTTGCAGACAATATACCAGAAATACAGTTCTTTTATTTGCTTTAGACTTTCAGAATAGTCCCTGATTTCATTCAGTCAGCTGCTTTCAAGCTTAGAAGACATTTGTGACTGGAGGAACTAACCAACTTTGGACTATAGCAAGGACCTATCTGGTCTTGAAAGAATATTTGGCAGTCAGTCAGTCTTGCCATGCAGATGAAACCCAGGGTTACAACACTTGAGGAGAAATGAACTCAACTCCCCTTGAAGTCCAGAAGAGTTGAAAACTTGTCCCTTTTCTTTGGAACAAGCCCAGAGCCTTTTAAAGTGATGGATCTTTTGTAACGGAAAGAACTGTAATGCAACCACAGCTTTCAAATTAGGCACCCTGGGACAAAGCAGGAATTCACAGCTTTATTCCAGACCATGCAAACAGCAGGCCCAGGAGAGCTATCTCCAAAGCCTGAACAATAGGTAACAGTTCTTTTCTAGTATATATAGAAAATTTACTATCATTTCAGATCTACTCTGGTGTTGGTGGACACCAGGGTCATGGGGCCTTCTAGCCTACGTGATAGGGGCCATGCACAGGAGTCTCCAACCTACATGTCATTGGGGGGCGGGGGGCAGTAAGTTGGAATTCCAAGGAGGAAATGTGTTTACAGAACCTAAAGCTAAGATTATCCACCTGTTTTCTCAAGCAAACAAGAGGACTGAGTTCCTAGGTAAACTAGGATCTGTTTTCTTAAGCCAGCAGGGGCGGATAAGAAGGGATATTTTTCTCAGGCTAGCTGCTCTGAGTTTTTTCTCGATTGGTTTTAGTTTTCTTCTTCAGTAATTTCAGTTTTCTTCTTCACTTTGTCCCTTCCTTTCCCTCTTTCTGTTTTTTTTTCTTATTTCCTCCACTTC